GGGAGGTCAAGGTAAGCCACATCGACTTTCGCAGTAGAATCCATCGTTTCGGTCCAGCTGCCATTTGCTAACAATAGGTTAGTGATGCACGACTGACTCTGGTGGAAGTGGTGTTGCTGCTAAGCGATGTGACCGGACACGTGCTGACAAGACATGAGCGTATCGGCAAAGATGGCCTCAATAACTTTAGAAAGAACCGTTCGATAATTAGCAGTGTCGGAGCGACTATCCCTTTGTAAATTAGAGTTGTTATCCCGTGTTTCCACATTGCAGGTACGTGCCTCTCGTGAAGCCAGTGCTGGAACAGTCGCGCCAAGTGTTGAGCCAAAACATTAGCCGCCACAACAAGCGTCTTTGGGTGGATGTCGTCGGTTCTAAGAGAGGCATGCAGACGCACGGATAGCAGAATTTTCTTTACGGTGTCTGCCGTAAAACTTATATGAGTGCGTCCGGGTAGAAGCATCATAGTTTCCAAAGGTTCAGGAGACCACAGGATGCCATGAAACGTTGGTGCATATCGTTGTTATCGAACATCCAACGCTTCTTCGGCAGTCCGAGTTAGACCGTGCACTGTTCGTAGAGGGGGAAATTCACTTTGCACTTTGCGAAGGCTGTTCACGTGCTTGTACAGAAGCTCATGACTGGAAGTAAATCGCCTTGATCAAGCCTGTTGCAATGTTACGTTGTTCTCGTGCACTAATTGGGTTCAGTGGTTACGGTGGAAAACATAAGCATTCCATGTACTCGGACTCGGATCGGTTTTGTAAGCGACCCACACATCTTTACGCCTTACCATGCGTTTGCATGTCCTACGCCGTATAAACGATGACACGTTTCCCGAATTGATGGTCTTGGTTTCCGATGCCCTACTAACCAAGGTGTTAAACCTACTGGCGTAACGTTCCCAGGTGATATCCGGTGCATGCTCGGTTGGGAAACTCCAATCGGTTGATTCTACTAGTCGAGTTAAGGTGTCGTGGCGGGTTATGGCCCGTGTCGCTCGAGTTATCTCTTCGGGGTATTCAGCGTAGCAGGTTTACATAAAATACGAGTTTGCGTAAGCACTGCGGCCTAGAGGCGTACCGAGTTTCACTCACTCGATCATGAGTTCTTCAATAATGAATATTCGGTCCAACTTGGATGGCCTGTTTTTCTCCACTGAATCTAGTGTTCGAAGTGAGGTGGCCATAAAGTGGAAAATTTGTGACAAGGACTTGCAAATTTGCTTTGAATTGCTGTGCTCTTGTGTCCTTGGATTCTAGAACATGTAGGCTGAAATCGCCAGCGACTGGAAGCTGATATCACTTCCTGTTTATCACCTGCCTCAAAGCAGCCACCAAGCTGCAGTCCACCTCGGGTACAGACGGTGCTGGGCAGTAAACAACAGCCACTAGGCCAACATCATTTCTTCGCAACTGTACGCCACACCAAATGGAGTCGGGCACTTCATTTTCCGAATTGTTTATAGCTTCGCACTGGAGGTTGTTAAGAACATAGGGGGCTACCCTACCAATTTTGCTGGCTAGGTCATTCCGGACAACGGACATATTTGTTGGCCTGATTTCGGCATCCGTTACCTTACTGAGCAGCCATGTTTCCTTGATAGCGATGTGGTCCTAAGCTGCTGACACGTGTTGAAAGCTTAGTTCAGCTAATTTGTTGAGTAGGCCTTGGGCATTTGTGTACACGCATGAGAGCTTCTCTGAAACCAGTAAATGTGATGGATGAAGCGAGTGAGTTTACGCCAACCGGTGAACGGTCGATGGCTAACCGTTATTTTCGATCGGTGACAGCCTCTCCATGCGAAGTTGTGATATATTTTTGCATCACATGCTCCGGATCCCAGAGGTCACTCGTGTTCTGTTGTGTCTTTTCGTGTGTTATGACTAATGTTGAAACCGTCACCGCGTCAGATCCTACAATGGGTGTTTATCTTGAGCTAAGCGCCCCCTCTTGGTTGGCAACGGAACATGGTCGTGTTCCTGCTTCTTTCAGAGAAGTTTCTATTGTCAGCCTGCTACTTAGCCGAATTCTCTAGAAGAATTTGTGCCGTTAGTTCAGACTGTAACACCAGTTTCAAAAGCCTTGGACCACGCCCTTTGTCTTTAGGTGACAAGCAGATTCTTGTCAACGAGGTGGTGACAACATTTTCGAGAGAAAGAACCTCCCGGATGTAGCGCCATTGCTCCCACTCGTGTACGTGAGCATCGTTGGAGGAGGAATCTGTAAGCTAAGGAATACTGTGAGCGATTCTAGTTTTTTATCTTCATTTTTCTGTTTTCCTCTTGGTTAGTGGAATCAGCTGAATGTCTTTTCCACGGGATGTCTGCTAGCATGCACACTCCATTTTTGGCACTGCAGAGTCGGTTCGCAGATAGCAGAACGGCCTCTGTCGCATCCACCGAGTTACCCGAAGTAATCAGGGCGCACCGCAGTTCAGTGAGTTTTGGTGGCGCGAGATGTGTTTTAATGCCGTAGGATTAGCATGGACACCGATCGCCGTTCAGCTCGAACTCCATTGATTTCGATCGTCTGTCAGCTTAACCTTAGTTGTATTAGCTTTACATGCGAGGACATTATTGCACACGAGGTTTAGGGCATGATGATTGCTCCTGGTGATCACTGGTTTTTGAGCCTTCTTTTCCCATGCTTTTTGTGAATATGTGGACGGCACTACTGAAGGCCATCCATGCTGCGACACCAGTTTTCTACAGCTAGGCCACCAAAGCTACCCGTGTTCCATTTGATGTTTGCCTGGCGGCAACCGATGAGTTAGAGGTGCGCTCAAACGAAGCAATCAAGTGACTATATTTACGCACAATCAGGGTGGAACTCTAAGAGGTAGCGCCACTCTGTATGCGTCTCACGACCTGAGCTGTGACGTGCTTCACTACGCCCTTTACACGGAATTGCATACCAACCTGTTTGTTATACCTGTAAACATATAGCCAACAGGAACCAACCATTCCCATGACTGTCATGCTGACAGCGCACCTAGGTCAGTAGCCGGCGACATCCAGTGGATTCATGTTAGCGCATAACGCGGAGGTAAACCTAGTGACATAGATATATGCCGCTTTGAAATGCAATGTCGTTCACTGTTACCAACATGATTGTTTGCCTTTTCAAGGTTTGTGGCGGCACATACAAGTATTTGCAAATCCTTTCTTAGTGCAGCACAAGGAGTAGCACTATCTCTGTTTTCCGCCTGAAGTGCATTGAGTTCGCGTCTGAGTTACTATGAGCATGCCTTTACGGGCGTGTCTCGCATAGTAGAGAATAAATATTCTAAATAATTTGTTAACAGAAGAGCAGTAGGGGGAGTTGAATGATACAGGCAGAAATTCGTCACATCTAGACTCACTCAGACAGCCGCCACACGCCCGGAAAAGCACTGTACGCGCGTTTCATCCTTTCGGGAATCATCAGCAGTGCGCATTCCATCGGACCCTTGGTAGGGCTCGAACCCGCATCTCGACTGTTGCTAGTCCGTAGTTGAGACCACTGAGCTACGGGGGACGGCAACGACCATCGTGAATAAGTTACTAGATGCGATATAGCGCCGCTCACTATCCACTGACTTACACGTTACTGTCGTGCAGGGGACAGGGTAGCCCCCTCACAAGGCGACGAGCTTACCAAACTTAAGCCGCCAATTAACTTATGGCATTATAAGCAGTTTGACCTGCGTACTGATTACAGAAGAGTAGTAGGGGGAGTTGAATGGTATAGGTAGAAATTCGTCCCATCTAACTCATAACACCAGATGTGAACATTTGTAGTTCGGGTAGTTCGGTAACTGCACTCATTCCGGCAAGTGACCCGGCGACTGACAGCCGGAATTCCAATACGCAGACTGTGAGTCTTTGTAGAGCGTTGACAACAACTCTGCCTGAATAAACTAACCGTTTCAAATGCGAAGGGACCGAGTGTGACGTACTTCCGTCACTTAACGTGCCATATCGCTTAGTTTGGATCACGCCTGCAGCCAATGTACGGAATTCAGCGGGCACCCTCGTGCTTTGGCAACTTCACAAAAATGCCACGTGATCTGGTCCAGCCTCGTCTGTCAGCCGCTCTTTGTCCCTTACACAATAAATGTACTATCTGTCTAGTTGGCAACGACAGGCTCGACACGACAAATAACCAGTAATAAAATTGCAATGATTCTAGTAGAACAGCTTGATGCACGGACAAGGAACCTGAATTGTAAACAACTCAAAAGCACCAACCTTTGCGAGACGAGAAAGATGTCTGAAGACCATACTCCGATGAGCGAAATACGGGATATGATTGGCGTCATCCAATTCAGGAATTGCCTTTCACTGCGGCCTCCTTAGCACAGTCACAGGACGCCTGCGCCTTCAGAGGGACCATAGGAGGTTTGCGCTGCACCACCCACACCTCCATCCACCCGCCCCATATGCAGCGTAAACCCGAAGGAATAAGACCGGGAGGCATGGGGATTGGAGTCACGTTTCCGCAACCTAGCCGGCCCATAATCCCTCAGCATGCACAGCAGCAGTATTATTGTCTATCTATGTAGGGAATCAAGGGTACCAGACGTACACAAGTCGATGGCTAGGTCGTAGTCCGCTCCACACTGGATGGAACCACTCTTTGAGCCTACCACGGCCATGAGGATCGTGCACCGCCTCCCCCAGCAACAGTTCACAGTCTTCTGGAACTAGTATTCATGGTGGAGGATGTTAGACAGGTCGGCACATTATCCACACACATCAAGCGTATCCAAGCCGGGGATATCAAACAACCAACAGAAATTGATGGAAAGCAAAACCGTAACATTGACACTGAATAACAGAACTGAACGAATCAAATGAAGTGGAATAACTTTTATCCAGATTAAAAAGGTCTGGTTTAAGTGTAAGTCGGTTTGGCCCAGCTCCAGTGAAGAAGCATCATGTATACAACATCAACCTCAGTATGAGGTGCAATCTACGGAATATATATATATATATATCCCGTCCCTGTCAACTTACCAGTTCCACGGACCATAGATCGGGCTTCGACCAGACTACGGAAAATATTGTCCGTACCGATATTTCTGCAAGAAAAATTAAGAGTAAATAGATGGGATATTTTAACTTTTATTGGTTTACATCAGGGGTGTCCAAACTTTTCGCAACGAGGGTCACATTTTCTGATGTAAAATTATGTCGGGTCATATTCAGTCTGACTACGCTATTAACAAAAATTACACTTGTCATAATTTGTTTACTGTAAGTTTGTACTGTGAAGGATGAAACTGGGAACTTGAGAATTTTACTTCTTTATTTCCTCAAGATCCCTTTAGTAGACGCACTACTTTGACTTTTCTTAGTTAGTTAAAAATATCATTGATTGTTGCCAGCATCTGACGCCATTGAATTTTTCACTAATAACATCCTTGTTTTTGCAATCCATATAATATTGTCTGTGAGAAAATAATTTAAGCTTAAATTTAGTACTTCGTGATGAGGCAGCGGGCCAGTTGAAGTGTTAACGCGGACCGCATTTGGCCCGCGGGCCGAACTTTGGTCATCGCTACCTTATATGAAATTGGATGGTTTAACTTTTCGCAAGGATAGCCGTCAGAGATCTCAAATGTCTCAAAAGGAAAGCTGGCGGGCGCGATATCGCAAATATGTTTACAAAGTACGTTGTGTCGAGGTACCCGAAAGTACCCAGTGGCAGTCTCGTTGGAATGAAAGCTGCCCACTGAGTAACCACTGAAATAACCATGTAAGTGATGAATGGTTCACGTCAAGATTAGTTTTGCTTCAATAATAAAGTGCTTCAGAGTACAATCATATCATCTAAAGTCGTCAGTTTTTCATAGTGGTACCTGGGGAACGAAGTGGATAGACAGTGTTTTCATGTATCACAGCCGAAAGTGCATCTTTTACTTCCCTGTTTAATACAATTTCACGAAGCAACTAAATGGGGTAATTACCTTTAAATAAGTAGTGGTCACACTGCTTAGGAAATCGGAACTAACTGGCACTCTGACTCCCAAGTCGGCAACAGTGGCCCAGACTGTATTTTGTTAAGTAAACTTCTGAAACGCTTTAGGTTTTCGAACCGCATGGCGTGCTGTGATTATCACTTTTACTTCAATGGTGTGTGATGGGATAAAAAGCATAACTTTACAAGACCCACAGGATGGATATGCAAAAGAAAACTAAAATCAAAATGTTCCAACGTGGAACGTAAAGTATCAGTGGTTAAATCATTGCACTTTAGCAAAGTGTTGTGTATCGTTTATAACTAAGATGAAAATCTAAGAGTCTTTCGAATGTCGTCATGTCTGGTGCGTTCACCACATAGTTTGGTAATGCATCCCAGTGAGAACAGATTCTAAGTGAGAAAAAATACTTTCTACAATTCAGACGAGAGTGTTGCGTCATTAGTTTCGGGTGGTTGCCTCGTTTTTGTTTGTATGGGGCTAGAGTCAACAGTGATGTATATGGATGCTCGCTTTCGGTTACTATCCGGTATGTGAGAGTAAGATCTCCGCGAAGCCGTCGGTATTCTAATGAGAACACACCGAGTACACGAAGACTCATTTCGTAACTTATACCGGATAGTGCACGCGTTGTCTTTGTGGCTCTTCTTTGGGCTGTTCCAAGGGGCGGATGTCTTGTTTTAACCATGGACGCCAGGCCTAACTTGCATGTTCAACATGGGGACGAATGTAGGAGTTAATCAACAATGGTACTAGCCGCCGCTCAAAAGTGCCGAGAGCTCGCCTCAAAAGTCTCAAGTTCATGTTCGCTACACTTGCTGCTTTCGAACATTGGAGCGAATTTCCAAGACTCTCTTGCACGATTATACCTAAGTCGCGTTCACTAGTCACATGTTGCATGATGTGTTGCCCCAAAAGGTATGTGTTGACGAAGCTGTTGTGCACCGTCAGCAGGTGGCACTTTGCAGGGTTCAGTGGGAGCTGGTTCGCTTTTGCCCAGTCGTTAATCCGAGACAGATAATCTTAAAGATAAATACGATCGGATGCTGAGCGAATTGCTCTCCATATTTTAGCATCGTCTGCAAATATTTTCATTGGAGATAGAATGTCTGCTGGAAGGGCATTAATGTAGACTAAAAACAGTAGCGGGCCGAGGACGGATCCTTGTGGTACACCACTGGAGACGCAAAGGCTTTCAGAATAGGTATCGGCTACTCTTACCTTGATTGCTCTGTCGTGTAAGTAGTCTTCCAACCAGGTGAGCAGGGAACCGTTGATACCGTAGGCAGCAAGCTTTTGGAGGAGAAAGAATTGATTGACCCTGTCGAATGCTTTAGAAAAATCCAGGTATATCACATCTATGGGCACCCCTTCATCAGACGCCCTGGTCCATAAGTCCCGAGTAATCAGCAAATTGTTGAGACAAGATCGTCTGCGTCGGAAACCATGTTGGGCATTAGAAATTATCTGTTGACTTTCAAAGTATCGCGTCAGTCCATCTGCGATTACCGATTCCATAACTTTTGATAAAACTGGAAGGAGAGTAATAGGTCGGTAGTTAGCAGGATCCGAGCGCTTACCTCCTTTGTATATTGGAGTGATAATTCCATTTTTCCACTCAGATGAGAGTGTATGGGAGTGAAGCAGACCCTGGAAAAAGGTTGCAAGTGGTGTTGCTATAGTGGGACCAAGGGTTTTAAGTACTTTTGGGCAGATGATGTCGATTCCAGAGGCACTGTACTCCCGGAGAGACTGTAGTTTGCTTGCAACAGCTGTTGGACTAAACGTGACGCTGGATAAGCCAACGACATTGGTTGGGAGTTGATAGGGCGAAGGTTCCCTGACATTTGTAGCTACCGAGCCAAACTGCAAGAGTAGAGCGTTCGCGGCATCCACAGCAGTAGTTGTTAGGCCACTGGCCGTCCTGAGTGGTGGTATTCCGGGCTTAACCTTTCTTTTGCCATTCATAAATCTGTCAGGTCATCGCAGAAAGCGTTGCTTGTACAATTAGGTGAACTGGTGTTAAAACATCTACCCAGGGAGCACCTGGGTGTCGCAGGCCGCATCTACAACAGATTAACCGATGTTTAACATTCTCATGAAAGTTCATCGTCAACTACCGGTTGTTATTGCCATCACGATTTTGATCAAGCGTGTCATCGCTTTCGCTGTTAACATGATTGCGACAGTGATACTAGAAACCCTCATTGTCATTACGTTTTCAGACGTCATGACAAACTCGAGTCAAAAACTCCTTGCTCCACGTAACAGCAGGAGCTAAAAAAGAACAACCTCAAGCAACACAAACCAAATGCTTAGCAGATTTCTAAGTTTCAGTCCTGAAACAAATAGATGATCGCCACTCTTCCTGAATATTAGCATGGAACAGCTGAACGATTACAGATTTCGTTACTGGTGATTCTAATTCCTCTTACCAAACCCACCCAAAGGCGGCAACATATTAATAGTATACCTGAGTTCTTCAATTGCTTGTACACTATGTATCAGAGAACAGTCAGGCTACGTCTCATTCTAGAAAAGCATATAAATTTTACTAATTGTAGTTTCATTCCATTTCTTTATTTTCCTTTGTTATGCATGTTTGGTCAAGACTGGACCAATCTCTTATCAAATCAAGTCAAAGTAAGCTTTATGCAACACCTGGGTAGGTGCATTTTCAACATGATACCCTATCACTGCAGATGGTGATGTATAAGAAATTACTGTTACAGAAAAAATAAAACGCGTAAAAATAACCGCACTTATCACTCGAGCAAATAATTTCGCATCCTGCTGATAGTTTTGGTTGGGTCAACAAGCAAGCGGGACAAATACGGTAGCAGAGAATTGCAGTGATGCAGTACGTGAAAATAAAACTTAAATTTGGTGCGGGTAGAGGAAGTAGATAATGTTTTTGATAGGTCACAATGTAGTGGATGAAGTGGGTCGTTTAGAATTTTGGAGGAAAATCTGGTCCAAGCGTCTAGGTGCTTGTTAACAATAAAATCCACAAGGGACTCCCTAGGCAATCCGCTGCATCTGGAAATAAGATTATGGACCGTAAAATCAATGTATACTTCTTTGTGTGTAATTCAGAGAGGATTACAGGGGAACAGTAGAGCCAATGTGGCAGTATACATGCAGTCACGAATCTAAGAATCAAATCAAGTGGTGCTGAAAGTAATTTAAGTTGAAGAGCACAGAACGACAACAGTTTAAGCTTAGAAAATGTTTCGGCAAGGTGAATAGACCAAGATAGGTTTCGGGATAAAAAGACCCCTAAAAATTTAATACTTGACGATCTGGGTATGAACTAATCACAAACTGCAAGTGGAGAAGTGGCGTCCAAAACAAGTTGTAACTTGTCAGCTCGAAGAAATGAGAATGTTAAGTCACGACATTGCGAAGGGTTCACAATCAGGGATCGAGATTACCCCCGAAGCATGAGCTTACCTACACCATTTTGAAAAGTAGAACATGTCAAACCGGTTGGAGTTTCGCACCGCAATGCGATATCGTTAGAATACTTGCATTCAATAAAGGCAGATGGTATGGGGAACTTTTCAATGTATAAAAAGGAGCGAGTGAAAGGATGGCTCCCTGTAAAACATATAGACTAGAGAGTAATGCAGAAGACCTCGCTACATTAATGCGGGTGCATTGAGTGCGGTTTGTGAAGTAGTCCTAAATCACGCCGCAAAAACTTGTTGGAACCCCCGTTGTAGACAACTGGTTGAGCAACACTGCTCTGTCAAGGCTTCCGAAAGCATCCATATGATCGAGAAACAGGAGACGAACTATCCCGCTTTTTCATCCTGTGCAGATACTACAGTATGTACAATATAGGACACCGCATCCAGTGTGGAGCGGCCATGCTTGTAAGCGAACTGGTATATATCGTGAGAGTTATGCCACCGTATCTGTATGCATTATTGGATTTATTTTATTTCATCTTGTCGTTTCAAGTGATTGGCTGTTGTTTGATATGCCCGGTGTGGTGCGCTTGATGTGCATGTTGACATGGTGCCTACCTGTCTATTACCCACTACTTCGTCCATACTGGCTCCAGGAGACAGTTGGTCGTTGCTCGAGGGGACGGG